AAGGCTATCGTGCCTTGCTAATCCAGTTATTTACTTATCTATTTAGCCATTTATTTGCATAATACGAGCCGCTTTATAATTACAATGATCGATAGTAATAGGGAAGGAAAAAGGAAGAGTGGACTTGTCAGTAAGGCTATCTAACAGGCTTGTGTCTTACAATGTTGTTAGAGGTTCTTTCTTGTTTTCTTTTCACTTTCTTTTTATAGCGGTTGTTTTCAACCACTTTATTTTAAGTTTACACTTCAGTAGCGAGGGAAATACTCGGTGACATCCGTGAGATTACTAATCTTCGCGATAGCTTGAAAAGTGTACACAAATGATTAAAGAAGAGACGGAAAGATCGCGCAGGTGCTTCGATGGGTCTAGCTGTAGCTAGAACGTTTATTGCACGAGGACCGATAGAAACGGTCCCTCCTCCGGACGTGTCGGTCCCATCCCATAAACGGCCCCGTTTTACGATCCGAACGGCGGTTTTCGCTGCACTTTTTGCCCGCTGACCGCTGCCTGAAAGCTTACCTACCGGTCAAAGAGGGGTTGAGGCGGACTGGACTCGAGAGGAAGCTTCTTCGTTGCTCGTCGCTCGCTCGATGGAACACCTACCGCGATAATTACGTGACATTTTGTTTTGCGACCGCAGGGGATTTTTTCCTCGCCTCTGTTCCGAGCTCGCGCGTCGATCGCGCGGTTACCCGGCTCGCTCGTTTTAATTTCGTCTATATTACCCTTAAATTATCCCGAACGCCGACGTAGTATCCTAATTGTTATCGTTTCTGTCGGCTGAGGAAAATAAGGGAAAAAACATACGAAATTGTTATCGCGTCTATCCGAAAGAAATCGTAGACGGGAATTGTTGCGGTCGATTAACCTGGAATTATCGTGGCCGATTCGTAATTATCGGGAAATAACTCAATAAAGGGCCCGGTTTGATCGCGACTGCGTGGGTAGTCGATAAAATATCAATTTCGATAATGGCCGAAGAGATCGCGCGAGTAGCGAATTTCGACGGTGGAGAGAGAGAAAAAGGTCGGAAGGAGTGGCGTGAGAAGAGAAGAGAGAAGGAGAATTTTGACGCCTTTCGTTCGTGGCGGCCTTGCGGTGTAATTACGAGCCTCGCGGAACACCGCGGTGGGTCCAATGTGGCCCTTTTGCCTTCGTTCCTCTCTTATTCTCTTTATCGCGTTCCACCGGTGGTCCACGTTCAACTTCCCATTCAGCGCATTTCATATTTTCGGTATAAATAATTTGTTGTTTCGTAATATTATCCGTTTGCGGAGGATTCGCTACCCTCCATTCTTTGCTCTTCATTCCTCTTCCTTCGCGGAAGGAGTTCGTCGTTCGATTTCGTTCATGCGTCCTCTGGAGTGAGAACAAAGAGGCAAGGATAGCCCCGGAGTCACCGATCCGAGCTGTGTATGCTAATTTACCAGGAATCCTTCTTCTTCTGCTTCTTCTGCTTCTGCTGGCGTAGCTGTCTCTCCTTCTTGCCTCGTCCAACGTCGGACAGAAGAATGAGTCCAGTCTTCGGATGACCAGGTGGTCCTCTCTTTGCGCGTACACACTCGAGTGCACTCCAGTTTTTCCCTCGCGTCTTCGTCCTTGCCGCCGATGATCTCGACGTCGAATCGAATCCTCCGTGTCCTGCCCGTATAATCTCGCTTTAGCTAAACAAACTCTTCTTCTTCTTCTCCATCTCCTTCGTTCTTTCAACTTTGTGAGTCGATCGTAAAAAAGGAGCGGCTATCGAGGGGATCGACCTTCCGTTTTGACGCCTGAACCGATTCTGTTCGGTTGGTCGCAAGATATTTCCAATATCGTAAAACCATTAATTACCCAGGTGGACCTGGGTGTCGGTGTATCGGCGTATCGGCTTCGAAGCCCTTCCCCCTCCCCTCTTCCTACGCTCTCGACTACTTAGGTGGCCGAAGCTGGCCGGGATGATGTATTTCGGCGTTTTTGCTCGACATTAATAATAACGTCTCTTGCTTCCCGACTGTTCGCTTCTCGACTCCGTGAAAGCACTCCCTTTCCTCTTCCTCGGTTCATTACCGGCCTCTCTCGCTCCTCCTTCCTCTCGTCCCTCTTCGCGACCGCCTCGTGACTTCGTCGATTAGTCGCGTGTTTCTCCAGGCAAAGGGATTCGTTTTCCTGACGGTGTCTCGGACGATTCTCCATGCTACTCTCGGCCTGGCGGAAGAGAGCCTCCGCTGTAACCGCGTGGAAAATGGGACACGCGAGTCGATCCTGGGAATCCTGGGAGATTAGATTGCGGGTATCGCGGGAAGCGATTGAGAATATAAGGAGATATATTTTCACTGAATTCTTACAGTAGGTATACGTGAAATCAGCGGGGTGGTCAATTCGGATGAATTAGCCGTGAAGGAGAAGAAACGAGGAGGATGGAGAAGGGGGCCAGGGTGGCGCGTTTCGCGAATTCCTGGTCGATGCCGTTCGAGTTGGACCTCTGAGAGGCATAGAAGAGGTAAAGATAAAGCTAGATAGGATAGGAATCTGGCTGTCGATGAACGCGTCTGAACACGGTGTACGGAGAATCGCGATCTCGTGCTTTCGTTCCCACAGTCGGCGGGGACGTGGATTCCGAAGGAGATTCCCTTTGCTCGTTCCGCGGAAGACGTGGTCGAGGGAAAGAGAAAGAGGTGTGTGTGCGCGCGGGCGCGCGTGCTAATTCGAGCAACAACAGGGAAAGAGAGAAAGAGGGGATATCGGTGGAGCCGTATAACATGCCAAAACACCGATAATTCGACCGTGTGGTCTCGAACGTCAGCCGATATTCTTTCCCACGGATGGCCCTCGGTAAGGACGGACGACCAGATCCAGGACCACGGCCAAAGGGATTCCTGCCATTCCCCGGCAGCCTACGCTCCAGCGAACGCGTCCGCGGCCCACCTTCCTCCCAATCGCAAAAACGATAAATTAGTTGATTTACTCGCCCGTTTTTTATCGGGAATAACTCTTTGACCGGGGGAACCAGACCTCTTCGGCAGTGGAAGATTAGGGCAACAGGAAGCACGCCGTATACGTCTCTTGCTCTTCCTTTCTTCATCGAACTCCTTTCGAAGATAAGGTGTTGCCTTTCAACAGGTTCTGAACGCGAGCAATAAATTACACCTGTGTTGCAAACTTGATAGTAAAATAGGTAGAAGAGTAATTGAGGAAAAATACAAGGTGATTTGACAGAGAGGAGAGAAAGAAGAGAAGGCTCGGTTAGAAGGCGGGCGAAACGGCACGCGGCGCGGCGCGTCGCGTCGTCGCCGATCACACGCGCGTGGCATCCCTGATGGGGTCCTGTTCGCAGAGTGACGCGAGCCTCTGTGTCTCTCGGGGGCCCTCGATTGTCAACCTCGTGGACTGAATTTCGTATTCGTCGAGCATAATGAGCCAGATGCGAACGAGCCACTCGAAGAAGACGAATTCTCTCGCGAGACCGTGAGAGAACCGCTTCGCTTTTGCTCGTTTACCGTCTTTTTTCGTTAAACCATGCCGACCCGGACCGTTTTTCGCGTCGCGCATTAAACGTATTCCCGATCCTGACAGCTTCCTCCTTCCTACCTCATTCTCTTTCTTATTCTCGCTCCCCCCCACCTGTTCCCCGCATATTTCTGATTGAATGAATTCGCGTTAAGACGTTTCTTTGGCCCCTTTAGAGGAGCGTTCCGTTCTTGAATTAACCCTCGAACGGTGGAATTTAAATTCAATTTCCAACTCTTCCAAGGTATTTGTAGAAAAATAAAAACTGTTAAATATCTATCAATGGTCCTACGCTCCTTCGAGAGATAAGATGGTATCGTTTGACGGCAAGAGAAAATGGCACGCGTTGCTTTAGAAGCGACCGCTCGTAAACGCAGCGCCAACATTCGAAGAGCGAGTTTGTTCTTCTCGCGCCCGGCCCCCTAGAATTCTGAAACGTTCCGTGGCACGGAACGAGCTGCCCGCGCGTGACGGTATGCGTAATAATAGTAAAACTGAATGAATCCCAGCTCGGTCCGGTATATCTCGCCGGTTTTCGGGTCCGCCGTTCCGTCAAGCTGTGGGGGGGAAAAAGAGGCGACGAGAGCAGAAGCGGGTAAAAAGGCTGGCTGCTGAGGGAGGCGGTCGCGCTGCCGTTCCTCGAGTGACCGTGATGGAGACGAGGGGGTGGTCGGTTCAGATCAAAGCAGCCGCCGTGAGAAGTGGCCCGGCTGCTCGAGATTCTTGTCTGCCGGGATGCTGGGAGCCCCTCTCGCGCAGCTAAGAATTTGTTTTAGTATCGCGGTGAACCTACCCCCTTCCTGCTGCCACCTGATTCCATCGCGCGCACGGCCCGTTGAGCGATCCTCCATCGAACCTACCGTCTCGTTTTATCTTCCACCTAATCCGACTAGACCAGATTGCAAATTGACCGTAGAACAAATAATTAGTTGAAAAAAAGAAGAGCAGATGGAACCGTTGGTCCCAGGTGAAAGCACCAGGATATCGATCCCTCCGGCGCAGAACTCGGCACGGAATGCGCTTACAAGTGAAAATGCCGATCGTTAGGAAAGAAGGAGACAGGCGGAGTGGAAGAGGGCAGAAGGAGCGTCGGAACCATTAGCGCGAATGCCTGTTCGTATGCGGTCAGAATCCTTTTATCCCGTACAGAGATTCCTGCGGGATTCCTTGGTTCGTTATCATCGCGTGCAGCACACGGCCAGGCCACGAAGTAAACGTAGGAGGAAGGAACGCGATGGGAAAGGACGGCGAGGAAGCAAAGGGAGAGAGAGTCGAACCAGTCTTATTCGAGGCACGGGCCTCCCACGATATTCGCCTGGCAAAGGAGTTATGAAGTCGTCCGACTGGAGAACCAGTTGCTTGCTATATTTCGCCAGGCTTAGGCCCTCCTGCAACCCCCAACGCGTCGACCCCGCGTCCTTCTGTCCACCACCGAACAAACAATTCGTTCTTCAACGAAGAGAAAAGCACGGGAAGGGAATAGGAAATAGGATTCAAGAAATTCGCGTAAATCCATCAACTTCATAGTCGTCTTTATTTCTTCTCCTTACACATCCGTCTTTATAAATTACAAGAGTCGATTAAAAAACAAAAATAAAAAAAAAAAACACGTCTGCTGTGCGTACGAGTACCATAATCACCGTTTTCTCGAAACGAGAAAGAAGTCGAGCATCTAAAACACTGGGCTAACGATTTCTTCCAAGCCTGTAGGACAACGCCGCGCGTATCTGAGCATAAGGAACGCACGGAGAAGAGACGTATAAAAATAATTTACGAGCTCCAAACGCGGACCGTCGGCTCCGTCTCAATTCGGCGTCGATTGTTTTATTTACAACGAGGTTTCTCTCGCGCGATATCAAAAAATAATATATATATATATATATTTATATAACTATAATCTATATGTATATACAAGTACGCGAGCCGATAAGATCGGAATAAATAACGAATCTGATGAATCTCGCACGCGTGTAGTCGGTTAAGAAGAAGAAGAGGCACGCGGCGAGTTCGAAGCTCGTTGTTTCGAAGCGACAGAAAGAAGAATGTGAACGCATTCGCGAAAATAAAACAATTACCGTATGTACAATTTATAAAAAAAATTAAAAAGAAGAATGAAAAGATCAAACGACGACGTCGACCACGAAGATCCGTCGATTTACGTCTATCGTTCTAAGAAGCTTACGATCGCGAACTGTCCAACAACGTTTCTCACCGTCTCAGTCTTCACATGGTCTCTCGATCGTTTCGCGTAATACTGGGAGACATGGAAGACCCCGATCCAACGAGGCCCTCCGTCACGCGGCCGGTTAATCCGAACTGCGTTAAATCATTTCAAGTTGTATCGACTGTTCGGACTTGCATCGCGTTGACGTTCCGTCGATATCTCGACGGAACATCGATACAAGGAAAATACGATCACCTTGATGGGAAGAGACTACGGACGCGTCCTTCGCCCGGAAGGAGGTAGGAGTCTCTTCATCGTAGGAAAAATAAGAGATCTACAGGCACGTGTGTATCGTCTTCTTGATTCGACAAAGTTGACACTTGACCTGGCAGCACCAGACGAAGGTGCAGGCGCATCTCTCGACGACCGTCACCTCCTGGGTTTTGTAGCCCCTGCCGCAACACATCAGGTCACAGCCGTCGACACCGATGCTAGTATCGTTGCACTGTCTACCATGGGTGCCCAGGATGCCGAGCTTTGGATTCTTCTCGCAGAACGGCGGCGAAGGCTCGAGGTAGACCAGATCCTTCGGACCGGGTGGCTTGTGCTCCGGGTTGTATGGTTTCAACTGGAAGTTGTACCGGTGTCGACGACCCAGACCCTCCCGGTGCCCGTGCACCGAGTTACTCGCCGAGTTGCTGACGATCGCGTTCCCATTCCCTCGCACGCGATCCGAATTGCTCACCATCACCCTGGACGCGCCGTCGAATCGATCCTTCAGGTTGTCGCCGACCACGCGAAAGTTCGGCAACTTCATCCAGCAGGTCTTCACGGTACAGGAACCGGACATCCCGTGACACTTGCAGTCTTGACGCATCTCCGAGGACACGTGCTGGGGGCACAACGAGAAAACGGATTATGACACCTGGTCCCGTCGATCGTTAGTGCTATTCTACGACACTGCGATTCCTGGCGAATGAAATAAAAAAAAGAAAAGAGTTGAAACCTACCGCTCTACCCGCTTCGTTGTTGTGCAGATTCATCTTCTCGCGGAGATTCCGTCCCCGTTCGCCGGTGTCGACGAATTCGCGAGAGAACTTGAAGCCGTAGCCGATGTTGTCGGAACAACCACCCCATTCCCAGTCCCTCACAGCGGATGGTGGTCGCGATTGGTGGGTATAGTCGCAGGAACACGACTGGATGCTGCCCTCGCTGCACGCTCGCGCGATGCTGTGAGTCACGGCCGCGCTGGTGATGGCGTAGATGAAGGCGGTCTCTCGACAACCTGCAACACCGTGGAAAAAAAGAAGAAAGCGTTAAGCTAATCTTCTCAAACGATACGTGCATCTTATTTTTATATAGTGAAAAAAATTATTTGTAATTCTATACGGATTTAACAAGTTAACTGTGATAAATCGGACTACGGAAGCTTAAAAAATCTAATAGCAAGAAGAAAATGAAAGAACCGAGAAAACTTTTGCGGTGGCCGGTAACGTGGGAGGTGACGTCAGGGAAGAACGTCTCAATCCTTGGACTACCTGCGCGCGAGATCTGGTACGCGCAGGTGTGGAAGGAACCTGGGAGGACGTGATGCAGCCTGGCCTGAGTAGAGAGAGGCCGAGACAGATAGAGAGAAAGGGAACACGACCTTAACCCCGAGTAGGCTGACCCGACAGCCACCTCGACCTTATCTGCATAAGGCGCAGGTGCCTGCCGGCACCTTTGCGACCAGCTAAAGCACCTTCGCGAGCCACTAAAGACAAGAGAGAGAGAGAGAAGGAGATTAAGGAGGGGTCGTTTCGCAAATTGCCACCTTTAAGCTACGTTCCCACGTGACAGTAAATCGGTCCTCTTACCGTCACGAGGTTCGCTGCCATGACTTTCGGTGTCACGTGGATAATGGCAAGTTATCGCGTTCCACGGAGCGACAAATGGTATGATCGAGGGGACGGATGAGCCAGGTGAAAAAGCGTCGGTGGAGTAGCCTCGGAATGAGACGTCAAACCGAAGGGATAGGCCTGGAGCGGAGAGAAAAGAAAGCGGTGGAGTAGAGAGATAATCGACCGCGTCAAATTTCCAAGCGAGATCCAAATTCGTCACGAGTGTTTTCCTCGTGAGTGCTGGGATCGCTGCCGGGTGGCAGACGAAATGACGGAAGAAAGGAGCGAGCCAGGGAAAGATGGAAAGAAAGAAACGATTTCCACCTAATCCCTGTCCAAGGTGAAGACCGGAGGCCAACGGTGGTCGACGGAAGCGACGGTTTCCAACCTCGGGGTAACCCGAGAGGAAGCAAGATTTACGCCGTTCCGCTCTGTTACGTTGTATCCTCGAAATTTCATCGGTTCCAGATATTATTCCTCATCATCTGGAACTGGCATGACCGAGAGGATTACACGGCCGGTCGGAGGCTTTCCACTCGCGGATCATCGGAAATGAAGTTAACGTAGGATCGTTGGCGTTTCCTTGTTTGAAATGGTTCGAAGGAATTTTTCTCACGGAAACGATGAAAGGCCCGATGAAATCATCGCGACGCTCCGAGCACACATCTGACGATCCTCGCGACTTTGAAGCGAAGCCGGACCCGTACGATCATCTCCTTCGCTGAAGATTTTACGATCGTCAAACAGCCGGATGACGCAGAGATAAGGAACGTAACGAGAATAGTTCTCGAGACGAAATATCGTTATCGACGTGGACGCGAGCCGAGGAAAAGAAAAGAAAGGAACAGTACCGAAGAAAAGCATAGGGATAATCTGGTGATGTATTGTTTGTCCTCGCATACGGGGAACGCGCGACGAACGCTTCGACGCTTTGTCGTTTCCGCGCGCGATAAACGGTTTGACGTTCGCTTTATCGACTCGTGCAAATAGTACGGGCAAGGTGGAGGCGCAGCTCGTTGCCGCAAGACAAACACTCGGTCGCATCGTTGGGAAATTCCTTGCTCGCGTACCTGTTCCGCAAACCAAAGCGAAAAAGTATTACAGTTAATACCGTTTGAAACATTCGGGAGACACCGCATCGAAAAAGAAAATATCCCCGAAGTTTCTCACGCTGATAGACGTACCTAGAAGCGGTTTCAAGGTGGGAGTGTCTATTTGTATGTCACGTACGTTCTGAAATTCCAGAAAGATAAAAATCATCTGGAAATTGTCGATCCTCGAAAAACTGCATCCGACCGGTGGTCGAGCGCGTGTCTGCTGAATGCAAAATAGACTCGCGTAGAAATAAGGGGCTGAGGAGAGGCGGGTGCGAAAACGAGACCGCCATATAGGCCACGGTTCTGTTCGTGGTTCTGTCGGTGGCGGGAACCCGTAGCGTGGAAGCAAACAAGATGTAAAAATCACGGTCTGATGGGACGAGGCATGGAGGAAGGATGCAGGAGGGCAGAGGCCCATTGGCTCGCGACTCACGTTTTCGCAAGAAATCGTGGCGTGCCGTCGACACATGTAGCCCATCATAGGCCGCGATTTATGGCGGCGTAACGCCGTGGCAAAAAGTCAACCTGGTCCTCCGTATAAGACGCGAGCGGCGCGTCGTGCGCCACCGTCCATCGATATCCAGCGAATTTATCCTTCTTAAACAATTATTAAATGTTACACACCGAGTGATACACCAGTTTTTTCATACGACCACTTTCGTTGTTCGCTGACGAACGGTAGACTCGCAGAGAGTCCACGCGAAATCGAGGAAAAACGTGAACGCAACAGCCGAGGCTCGCGAGATTCGCAGTTTACCGAGCAATTAGACTGCGGAACTTGGCTCCGATTCCACGCGAGACGAACACGTTGAAACGGTGCTCGCGGTGTGGTAAAGGTAAGAAGATGGCCAGCTGAGAATGAAAGAGGAAGATGGGAAGAAACGAAAGCGAGGGTAGAGACCGATGCGGTAGGTGGCTGTTGGCGGCAAAATGATTACAGGCCGCGAACCTACTCACTACCAGCTATAATATCGAGTACAAACACCTCCAAAAGTATCGACCGGTTGGTTATTTTTCATCTTATCCTTTTAGTCGAGATACGACGTTGTTACAGCCAGGCAAATATTGAAATTAACGCTTGAAAGAAGAGAATGGATTAAGAAAAACGATCGTTCGAGCGTGACGAAACGAATGGACATTAGCGAATCAAAGGGAGACCGGAGAAGAAAAGAACACGACGGGTAATCGTGTAATCGGGTAAGCCCGCATAATCCGGAAACGACCGTTTAGGTCGGCGCGCGACAACCAGTCTGCCAACGATCCCCTTCTACGATCTCCAAATACGACAAGTACGCGAGCGTATTACGGATCGGCGATACCGATCTGAGTTTCCCCTATAGAGCCCCCCCATCGCAGATCTAATCTACCCGCGGGATCGGTTCGACAAGACAAAAGATAGCAAGTTGGTAAGACGAACGAAGAGAGGATACACAGGAAGATAGAAACTGGTCCTCCTCGTTCAGCCAAGACGATCGCGAGGGGTGAAAGGTCGAGGCCCTCTTCGTCCGTACGTCGAGGAATGCCTCGTCGATGTCTCGTCTGTTTTCTACGTCAGGTAGAATCACACTCGAGCTCTCATCAACGCTTTACGAACATTATTCTATTTACATTATTGCCAGGAATGCACTCTGTGAATCTTAGTGGTTATCAGCATCAACCAGGAGCATAATCAATGGGGGCTGTACTCGTACAATTACTATTATACAGCGGGTGATCAAATTATTAGAGCCACGGTATGAGAAATGGGTTTCTCGTGTTTTTTTAGAAAAGGTTTTTAAATACATTGAATAACTTTTAATCAATGATCCTTCACTAATAATACACACCTTCTGCTGTAATTACTGTCTCAATTCTTTTCATTTTGATTACTTTATTTCTAACGTTCAACCAATTTATATTTATTACAAATAATAAATGTTCCCACAAATTTTCGATGGGGTTGAAGTCCGGAGAATTTCCAGGCCAGTTAAGAACTTTCACTTTTTTCAACTGTGTGTCATAACTTTACAAGCATCATCATTAAAAAATATCAAAAACTCCGTTTAATTAGGTTTTCATTTAAGAAATCATCAATTTATGCGAATGGCTCTAACAATTTGATCACCCACTGTAATAATAATATTTTTTTCATTTCGGGACATAAGCGATTGGAAATGAAGGATTACGCTTGATCCGCAATGACCTAATACTCCAAAATGCAGAGTATGTATACAGGAGAAAAAGATAGGCGTACTCGATGGTTTTAAACAGTTAGCACAGTATCGTCTAAAATTAGACCTTCCGAGGACTGGCGCTAAACGACCGGTCATCTAAAAATAGATTTTTCCATGCAAATACACATAAATTATCGGTTATTGCCTGAGTAATGAAGTTAACGCGTTGGGAAGAGGAAGTTCAGCCGCAAAAGGGTGCGGATAGGAAAGCAAGGGTTACACGAATTGCTGGTGAGAGCAACGCGCGCGTGCGATCTCCTCCTCGCCTCTATTTTGTATCCCGTGATTCTTTTTTCTTTTACGGTTTTACCAGCGCGATAAGTGGCCATATGGGGACACTGGGCCGAGCGAAAAAGCTCCTCTTACAATCGCTTGGACGAGATCTAAAAGAGCCGCAGGGGAGCCAGAAACTGGTACGAGAAGGTCCATTATCAGGTTGCAAAACATACATCTGGTCGGTGAGGGCACGTGCCCGGGGCCTTCGGACCAAGGGCACGCCCCTTTTAGATCCCCTCGTGCCTGTCCTCTAATGCAACCCCTGCTCCGCACTCTTTCCCGACTTTCAATAATCTTCCGGCCTAACTGCAACAGGATCGGCAGCAAAACGTAACATTCTACGACCAATCTAAGGGTGGTCCTCAATGCGTTCAATTTAAAAAAAATAGAAACATATACAGACAGAAGTTGACATCTAAAGCTCAATAATCTGTTCCAGCTGAGGGAAGAACGTTAGAGATGCTTACGAATCAGTGACCGATTTACGATACGACAAATTATCGTGTAGAACTAACTAACCATGATCCAATTAGTCGTACTTTCATTATGCGGCCGAAAGGGATTGACGTTCTACGGTGCTTCACGAATCGATCGACTAACGATATTACCCAAGCTGAAACTCGAGCACGTCCCGTATAGTTTATTCGGCTGATCGTTTTGTTTACGATGACGTTATTAACGTAATCATCGAGAGACAACGTCTTTTCACCTTGATTATACTACGCGTCGGGATAAAAGTTCGTCTCGTTGCGTCGTCGATTCGTATCGACAGATTGCACGTTCGCGATTTCGGGAGGACCCACGAGTGATGCCACCCTCTTCTCCCTTCCCTCTTCTCGATCCGCTATCGTTTCGTCTCTTTTCACGAAACTCGTCTCCTGTAAATCTCTATCGGGAATACCGGTTGTCGGAGACGACCATGGACAATGGGCTGTTCATTTTTTTTTTTTAGAACGTGGAACGAGTCCACCTTATGGTCCGTTATATATCTGTACAGGTATACACGTATAAATCGTTTTATCGCGAATCTCCATTCCTCCGTGAGCAGCAGCTTTCGTTTGATGCGATCTCTCTGTTTTTCAACAGATTCGAATCATTTTTTCGATGTACAAAAAGAAATCAGCCAAACGCTAGAATATTTCGAAGGAAATAGGTAAAACGTGAGAGTTAGGTTCACCTAAAGTTGCGGATAGAAGGTAGGAGGAAAGAGAAAGGAAAAATCTGATTGGCTCACCTCTGTCGACGATCTTTCCGAACAGATTTTTCCCACGCAGAAAATTCTTAGTGGAACAGTTCCATCGACGATTGCGAAACTGATGCTGGCACTCGGCGATCGCTTGGTTCGCACCCCTGGCCACCGCCATCAGCACTCCCGGGTTTTCCCTGGCCAGTCTTCGTTGCTTTCTCCTCAAGGTCGCGTACACCGTGGGATCCATGTGCAGGGATGCCGGAGACATCGGCAAAAAATTGTTCGGCTCTCCTGCCTTGGCGATTCCCCTGAGGAGAAGAAAAAAAGACACGATCGAGTTGGCTACTTCTAGCTCCTTGGATGACCGTAAGTTTCGTCGATTTACTATTTCTTAAATAAGAAAGCTTATTTTCCTAAAACAAAGGTCGACCCTTATTTTCCTAGATCGTCGAGTCGAAGACCGGCGAGGGTGTTTGAGGCGGAACACTCGCTCGGATCCGGCAGACGCGGCGCGAAAGACGCGTTTTCAAACACGCGTCGCGTCAGCGACGAGCTTTGACAGCGAAGGGCCAGATTTTTGACCTGTTTAACGCGTTGCTTATCCGTCAATGTAGATACAGACCGCGACGTGAAACAAACGGTGGTACGCTCTATTAATAACAGATTTCCAATTACGTAAAGGGTTAAACGAGACGGGGAGGAAAAGGCGCGAGACCGCTGCTCGTTCGCTCGCACGAATTGCCATTTATCCTGCGTTCGTCCGACGCTAATTTGGTTTACGCGTAAAAACGATACGCTTTGAAGCGCCTCGAGTAACAGCGGAAAGAGAAGAATAAAGAAAAAGGGTAGGTAGTAGGAGAAAAGAAAAGGGCACGGAGACAGAGAAGAGAAAAGGAGCACACGGGAGAAGGATTAGTTCGAAAGACGAAACTGGTTCAACAGTTTCGGTCAACGGTAGCCGGGGTATATATATATATAAATCAAGCTGCCGCGCGAGTTCTGCCTGCGAAAGAATTCGCGTCTCGATCGATCGAGCGTCGCGCAGAAAAACGCTTAACAGCGCGCTCTGCTCGCGTCCCTTTCGTGGGAAGAACGTGCAAACTATACAGGATAAACGTCTTGGGGATCGTGGATTTCGGACCGATTCGAAATCCTCGTCCTCACGATTTTTTAACACTTTTACCGCCACCTTATCCATATTTGGATAGCGTTTATTTTACGAGGGGCTAATTGCAAATCATTATATTGACACCGGTAATTGAAACGACCGATGCAAAAAAGGATAAATCCACATTTTTATAGCGTAGTGACGAGAAGGCCAGTCTCGAGCAGGAGACGGTTAAACTATAACTACTCGATGGTTGAATAGAACAGGGTCGAATCAAAAAATAGCTCCCGCTAGCAGGCATCGGATCGCTCGTCGTCGCGCACAATAAACAGCTAATCACTGTCGTTGGATCTCCGTCAACGGTCCGTTGTCAACGGAGCCTCGTGACGTCTAGCAGAGACAGGGAAGCAAGCAGCCAGGACCCGAAGGAGATCCCAAACGCGAAAAGCTAGCCAGCTGCGACCGAGATTTCCCGTTGACACTCTTTCCTGGCCGTGTAAATAAACCGAATTACGATGCGTCGCTCGTAAAAGCGTCGAGTTACGTTGCTTTACATTGGCCAGCAACAGAAACGTACTAACTGTATCTCGTGTTCGGAGTAACTTCCCTCGCTCGATCATTTCGAGGATCGTCGTTAGTTTCGTTTCGACCTGGCGTGTAAAATTTCGCGCGCCCCGTAACCGTGTTCGCGTCTGCGCGTTGCGGATGCAGGAAAATTTATAGGATGCATTCGATAAGCGGCGCATCGGACCGGTTAGGATGTATCTATTGCTTGTAATTTACATCGGGGGAGAAAAGGTGAAAGTTCTTCTTCTTCTTTTAACTCGTCCACGTGTTTCGTGCCGCTACGACGAAAATAATTGATCGAGGGCTAATAGCGATCCCTTGCCACGCGCTTCGAATGACAAAAGGCTGTATTAAATTCGATTATCAGTGAATATAACTTTTTATCTTGAAACACGTAGCTCAGAGATAACGATTACTTGCACATTAAATTTCCCAATTTCAACTTATACTTTCCAAATCGTTCGAGTGTTCAATCAGTGATCGATGTTGGTACAAGACCACCCAGAATCGTCGTATGTCGTTTCTTAACGCGATAAGTAATCCCCTATTACCGTGGAATATACGAGCGATTTTGCTCGCGATATCTAACGGAGAAACTGCGACAAGCACCGGCGAACATAAATCCAGCCGAAAAGTCGCAATCTCCGAGTACGGCTTTCGCCGAGCGGCGATAAATTAATCCCGACCGCGAAATTCGATGGCAGCCCCGTCCGACGCGAATTTACCGTCGCATTAGATTAATTAATTCGTAGGTAATAATTACTCGACGTGCGTGGCCGTGTCTTAAATCAACGCGGTTGGAAAAGCCGTCCAAGAGCCGACTGATTTATCGCCGGCAGTTTATCGTTACGTGGATATTTCCGCGGCTATCTCTTTCGGTTGTTAAACGACCGCTCGCACACGTGTACACACGCGCGTTCTACCGTGCCCGGGACCATTATTTATTACCCGGCTAATGAAGTTAGCCATTATCTAATATCTATCCAACGTGTTTTCTTGTAGCCGCGGCATGCTACGCGCAGAAATCATTGGCGAATTGAAACGAATGGACCCGAAGGTTTATGATTAATGAATTAATAAGAAGCCGCGCACGGTCGTAGGTGCCACCGTTGGCTCGATAAGACTGCCTCTAGGAGACAGGTGTTAACGCGACTTGTAATTAACTGTCAAAGGTCGTGACGAGAATGCGAGGAACCCTACCGAGTCAACGAAATTACGATCTGTCGAATTTTTTATTCTTTCGATCAAGCAAATCCACTAGATCTTCGCGGTTATTTAAACGCGTCGAGTGCCATACTTCTGATTAATTAAATTTCCATTGAATAATGAAATTGAAATCACTTACCACCACATGGATCCTCTGCCACGATTCTTGTTCCTGGTGATCTCCGCGATGGACGCGTGGATCGCGACCGCGAGGGCGCCGATGATCACCCAGAGCCTCATCTTTCGTTCGCGATCGAGGTGGGGTTGTCCGCGTTTTTCCTCTTTCCAGACTGTTCCTCGACCTTCTCCCCGGATACGATACACCACGCACACTGGATCGTCTCACTCACCGTGTTACGAACATCACACGATACTTTTCGCGTACGGTGTCGCGCACATAACGAGCGTCCACGCGTGTCTTTCAGAGACGTCTGACAGACAAGAGTGACACTTGGAAGACGATTGACCGGGAACGACAGTACAAGTTTAAATCATCGTCCTCGTGATAGGATGAACTAGATGTCCACTAAGATGGCCCGTATCGAAACGGAGCGGCCCGGCGCGGCGCGGCGGTAAAGAGTCAGCTGTCAAAAGCACGGGGGTCGCAAGAACCGTAATGCCGACAGGCCGTTGAGTGACTGTAGTTGGCAGAGCCGGAGCTGTCGACCTCGAGAGCCGGAAACTCACCCCCCGAAGGGCTTTTTTCGAGGGGTGGGTGTCACCCTTGCCGAGTTCTCGCCGAATCAGAGGTGGTGGGAGAGGCACGGTGCGGCCGGAGGATATACCTGGCAACCCTCCTCGACGTTTCGGTCCGTCGCGTCGCCTGGGTGGATAGCGGGCCGACAGGGACGCCGAGCGAACCGATAAATTGGTAAATCGGTAACCTTTACAATTCCCGACCGTTTCCGTTTCCGTTTCCTTTCGAACGTTTCTCCGTATGATCCGGTCGCGTGGTAGCGAGTCGCACGACGCGGGCAATCGATCGACCGATCGAACGAACGTAAGAACGCACGAACAAGCAGCAAGCAGCGAAGGAACGAGCGTCGACCCAGTCGAGAGAACGCGCCAAGGGGAGAGACTCGTCGTTTCCTTCTCTTTCGCTGTGTCTCGGGGGGTACGGTACCGACTTGGAGAACCAATACCCTTCGACGGACAAGTATAGGCCTCGGCTAGCGACTGCACGCGCTCGTCCGCGGAAGAGCCGATCTCTCTTCAGTAGAGAGAACGGAACCTTCTCCCCTCTCCGCACCGCTTCGCTCTTCTCACCGTCTCGCTTCTTCTCCCCTCCTTGGACCAATCTTCTCGCTTCCTCTTCGCGCTTCCCTCGAAACCCTATGTTCCTCTCTTCTCTTTTCTTCTCTTCTCTTCTCTACACTTCCCTTCTCTTCTCTTCTCTTCTCTCGATCATCTCTCTACTCACCGCTATTCTCTTCCTTTCCGTTTTCCTCGCTTCTTCGCTAGTCCATGCGACCAGCTTTCTTCCCCTCGGTCCACCGGAACCCCCCACGAACCGATCCAATCTCGCCCCGCCCCTCCGACAGTCCAGTCTCTGCCCTTTCTTTTTACACGCGCCGATTCTCGATCAACCTTCTTCCTTCCCCGTTTCGATTTTTATTCATCCTCTCTTTTCGTTCCCCTCTCTCCGGAAATCTTGCCCCGCACTCGATTTTCCTATTGCGAAGAAGAGGATCGAGCATTCCTGATAACTTCCTTTTTTGAGAGACGCGACGGAACGTCGAAATCGATGAATGGTTTACCTTGAGAATTGCTTTCATTCTATGATAGAAGCTGGTACAGGAAATGGAAGAAAGAACCCGCCACTTTCTAGCGGACGAGCATCTCTTCTCTGTTGATCGTAGACGAGCACGTGGTTTTCAAGGGGAAATAGTGGGCGGTCCCGGTGGACGCCACGCCTCTCGGCATCCCCGCCACGTTTCTCGTGGTCATCGCGCAAGGAACTCTCGACGATGCTCTCCCACTCTCTGAAAACCTACCCGGATATCGCTCTCTTTCTCTCTCCCCTCTCTATCTCGCGTTTCATTCTTTTTCTTCGTCTCTCCTCCGCTTCTCTCGATCGTTCCTAGCGTTTCACCTCTCTCCTCCTTTTTTTCCATTCATCCGACGAGCGGCTCCTTCCTCGTTCCTCTTTCCCGCGCGCTCCTTTTCGTCGCGCCTCGTCCCTCGGCGCTGTCCGCTTTTCGACGCCGCGCCGCACCGTTTCCGTCTCCCTTCCTACGAACGTCGAGGGACGACGTCGCGGAGAATGCACGAATCGAAAGGTGGTGGTGCACATGCGTGTGTGGGAACTCGGCTCGGAATGCGGGAGTCGAAGCAGCCGTAGCCATGGAACCGCGCCGGGACGAGAAGCTTTTTCCTCTCGCGGTAGCGAGATTCCGATTCTTCGACGGCTGGAAAACCGCGAGATTCGAAGGCGTCTACGATCGCGAGGGGAAAATGAAAGTTTTCGAATTTCGAAATGGCGAGAGAAAGATAACGGATGATGGAGGAGGAGAGGAGAGGACGGTGGCGAACGCGAAGACGAGAAGAAGGGCAATTTAGCGGAGGCGCGTAAAAAGATCGGAGCGAGGGATATTCGGGAACGAGGTCAGGACAGTGGTCACGAGATCCCGGCGAAGAGTTACAGAGATTGATCGGCGTAAATCGTCGCCGCGACGAGATCGCAATTACGTTTTTGTCGGCGCGCGTACGCTCGATCGCTGTCCTCGTGATCGCGCTTGAAAACTCGGGTAGAGAAAGACGCGAAGAGGTCGAGTTTGCCTTCGGTTCTCCCGGGCAAAATCACGGGGGCAATTATACGCGAAGAATGCGAGCGTACGCTCCCGCAAAGCCTTTTCTCTCCCCGGCACCGCGCGTTCTTCTTTCGTTTGCCCACCGCTGACGGCTGAAAATTAATCGTCCTGCCGACGCGATAAAACCACGAGGAACGATGAAAAGTTTGCTCGATTCTTTGCCTTATTGTCTTCATAGCAAAATTCCGAAGAGGCATTATTACTTTTAAGCTCTATATCTACAGAAAGTTCGAATCAAGTTGAATATTTCGAATTCTTTCTTCGTCTAGAATCGAATCGATCATTCAGACGAGAGATCAGCTAAAGCTAACGCTCTTCTAATTGCCGCTAATGATCGGCAAGATGTTCTTTCGCGTTCCTTCGACGTCACGTCGAAATAATCACGTGAGGAATAAGTTGTTGGTAGGAGCAGGATCTGCCGAGAGGCAAGGGCTCGCGTGACGGACCGTGCGCGTCCGTCGATTACTCGCTCGGCTCGACGCTTACGGTAATGACTTAATGTCGACGAGTTCTACGATGTTGTACGACCGCGTTTTTCCACGTTCCACGGCAAAAATCGTCCGCTCGTTCCACGTACGTGGAGTACACACCTGATCCGAGAGCTTCGACGAAAATAAGCGTAGCCTGAAGTCGTGGTAGTTCGGATTCAAGAATAAAAATAAGCGCAGCCTCGTTATCGCGCGCAGCCTGAATCTGGCGCGTGGCTTTTAGCGCAGATAACCCTTTCCTTTGGTAGACCGATTTATAGATGAACTTTTCTTGTCCTTCTCTTAAAATGGATCTCTCAGGACGTTCTACGAACGTTATCGGAGACTTAATCTACCGTAGGTTCTAGAAAAGTCAAACTGAAAAAGGCGAAGTTGGTTCTAACGTTCGGAGTTAGAGGTGGGGCGTCGAACGGAAGATGGTGGTCCAGGCACAAGGAAACTAAACGAAAAGGAGAAGAGAGACCAGGCGAGATGGCTCGTAAATCTAAAGGCCCTGTTCAGAAGGAAGAAGGTTGAATAGGTGTAAATGAAGTTGCGGCCTCTGGCCCGCCGCAAATTCGACCGGACCACCCCGCATATTCTGTCTCCCGTGCGCGCGGCCACCATCTTCGAATCCCGCTAGCAAATCGTTTTGCCCTCTTACCCCGATAACAATGTCCCCAGTTTTCTATTCGAAACGCGCGCGGATTCGGTAAGACGTTTTCATTTCGAACCCTTAAGTCGGATAATCCGATTTCACAGTCGGCAATGGCGCGAGAGTACACGCGTGAAATCGATCTTTATCGAGAAAGATCTGCCACCGACACTGCCAGGCAGGTGGTTCCTTCCTCCACGAATCCTCTCCTTCGTGGTGGTCCCGAAACCCAACTGGCCGCCTTCCGCCAAGGGATGGATTAGCTTAATATAGGTTAACGTTCATCCTCATTAACTAACCGAATAAAGCGACAACAAAGGACGGGGCTCGTTTTGTTTCGGATGATCCTACTCGGCTCCCTTTCAACAATTTTTCCAAAGCTTTTCAATCCTGTCTGTCCTCGCGAAAGATTATCGGGTATTACAGGAAACGTATACACGCGTCGTTCACGAAAAAGCTGCAGTGAACTAATAGGGAGAAAAACCCGTTTTCCAAAACCAGTTATAAACAATAATCTGAAATTTAAATGGTCGCCATCACGGCAGCCCGTCGATTCATTCTGTGTTCCGATAATTGATCCTTCGGATAACCGGTATTTGGATAATCGACGTTCTACTTTATTCTTATAGAAACGATCGGTGAGGAAAAAATTCGAAGGACTCCGTGTGGTTCGTTGGACCATAGAAAGAGAAGAAGTCCTCTTTCGGTTGAATTCCAAAGTCCGGTCGGCCGGATCAATGCAAAAACGCGAGCATCGTTGCTCGGACACACGGAATCGTCGAGCAGTTTCTGTCTGATTCAGCGAAAGGACTAGCGTATACAGCAGGATCGTTGGTAAGGTTTGAAATGGTTTCGGTGTGCGTGACGACCGTCTACGACCACCCGGGACACCTACCGGAGGATTTCTGGGCGGGGTGCGAACGCGTCGGAGGACATCAAAGAACCCCGCGAGAGCTAATTATTGTTTCTCGATGCCGGCCAAGCGGAACCGTGAACACGGTGGCGCCTGCACGATAGGCGCTGCCATTCTCACCCCCTCTCTTTCTCATTCCTCTCCTTCGTCTTCTTCTTCTTCATCTTCTTCTTCATCTGGGTCCTCTGTTCCCAGCTACGGTTCTGGCAGTCAGCTTTCTTCGAACGATCGAGCCAACCGATGGAAAGAAGGATCAACCTCCTGCTTTCCCGAGCATTCCACCGGCCACCCTTAATTAAGAGAACGCCATTCGACTCACCGTCGATTATCCACGGTCCCACATTCCGAGATCTTACCAGGTCGACGTTCTTCGATCGATTCACTCGAGCTTCACGCAAATTTCATTGCGATTTCGTTGATTAGCGGTTGCGTGTTAAAATTTTCACGATCAGACTCCGGATAGTAATTTTATTCTTCACAAATATGATGTTTAGATTTTTCAATTAATTGAGCTTTCGTGTACTTGGTACACGGTATCGTTTAAACGTGTACGAGACCACATTCCTGCGCTACGTTGAAAACCGAGATTTTACACTCCATAATTCCTAGCTATTGCTATTTAATCATGTTTACGATCGCATTAACGTTAGCAAACAACCTTTCACTCATATTTCTCTCTATAACACCTTCGCCCAATCATAGATCTACTCGTGTGTCGATACATTAATGTTCTTACAACTGGAAAGCGTTAAGCAGCCGATCAACTTGGAAATCAAAACAATATTCTAAAATCAATCAGGTTTCACTTGTAATTATCGCACGCTCGATTAAACGAAACGTCGTCTCGTAGGATATTCCATGAAAAATGTAAAACTTGTAGTTAGTCCGTTCTTTTTGCAAGGACGAAGAACCACCAAGAGAAATGTTTCCAGGGAAAGTCGCAGACATTGGCGGATGAAAAGATTCGCCACGGATTTCTAGCCAGTGGCTAAGAAAGAACAGAAGAGGGCTGTTCGCGATCCTCCAAGGTGTTTCGTTCAACGAACGAAACGCCCCGTTTCTTGCCATCTTGCACCTTTTTCATCACCCCTCTTCCCTACCAGCCAGGCGAATTCTGTTGCTCGCGGCGACTCGCGTTCAGCTTAATAAATACGTTAAGCCGAACGTGTGACTGTCCAAGCTTCGGGCTATTGCAGCGCGGACCTCTTCGACGAGAAAGAAAACGCGTGCCGAGTTGGCTTACCTGAAGAGGACCCATGGCCACCGACCAGACTCCGAAATGGAAAGAGAAAGAAAGAGTGAGAGTACCTGGAGCACACACCACCCATGGGGCTTGCACGCCGAATTATCCCTTCTGTTATGGGCAAACATTTATGTATTTATTGCCGGACAAACGGCTGGCATAATAACCTCACGGACGTGATCGATACGCGTTACTACCGCTTCGGCTCCTCCTCGCTCCAGGGACCCTTCCGAGACCAAGAAAGAAAAAAAAAAAGAAAGACCGTTCATGGATCATTCAGTCGTTTTTATTCTAACCTCGATGC